ATACCAAATATTCCAAAGACACCTATAATTTAAAAAATTATCTTTGGGATTTGATTACTGTGTCATCACAGCTCTCTGTTAGCATAGATAATTGAGAGGTACTTGTGAATACTTGTTACTGAAAATGCCACCATTGTTGAGGAAATGAGGTCCTGAGAAATGGCTTCACGGTTTGGCTCCACATCAAGGATGCGGTGTACAAAAATGAAAAGGAAAATAATTTTTGAATATATTTCCTTCACTGCTGAATATATTTCCTTCTTGCTTACTGCATATTGGCTCTTCGGCTTTTCTGCTATAAAGAAACATAAATCCAATTGTATTCTGTTGACCAAAGGAAAACATGACACAAACTGCCAGTTGTACTGTCTCTTTCCTGTTTTGTGACCAATATAAAATATTACATTTCCCTACATTAAAAATATACATAGTATATTGAAATGTTTCTTCAGTTTTATAACTACTATAAAAATAGTCAGGAAAAGCCACTGGTGGTAATGCCACTATTTTTAACCATGAACTGTATTCTCAAAATACCATAACTAGATAATTGGGACATAGGAGAGTTGTCTTTCTGTGATTTTGAATTCCAGGGATTTTATGTGAGAATAAAATTTAGGTCAATTTTATCGTTTTAATGGGACGTTCATCTGCATGATCCATTAACAATGAAATGTAAAAATGCAAAGGTAAAAACGTAACTTTCTACTATTTTTCATGGGTGTTTTCAAAGTAAGATAAAGATTTATTTTCTGACACTGTATAGTGACCACAGCCAGGGCCAGAGAAAAGTGATCTCCCTTGAGTTGTCTGCAATCTGCACTTTGACTTCCTCCTCTTGGCCCAGTTTAGTCCAGACATTTCAACAGCTTGACTAAGCCTCATCACTATTTAGCTGCCAAAATCAGTGGCTGCCAATACCACTAGTAGCTTTTTAAATACTCCTGCTGCCAGCACTATGTTTGAGTAAAGAAGGCTAGACCTTTCTGGTCTACCCCAGTGGCTAAGATCTCTTTCAAAGGAGAATTATTTTTAGTATTACTTCATCATTTTTCCTTAAGAAAATGTTTTTCTAGCAAGATTGTCTCCTTACAGAGAAATTGCATTTACACTGATCCCGGTAAATAACATCTCATCTGGGTTAGCCTAGGGAGAAACATTAGTTTCAATAATTGATATTACCTCTAATTTTATTTTTAATTGTATGGGGCCCATAAGGTATATGAATAACAAAATGTAAAAACTTATGTACACTGAGAAATTTCAAGTGTAATAATCAAATATCACTTACAGCAAAGTTAATCTGATAATGGTATGTACTGCATGGTAATTAGGGATAAACACATTAATTGTGGTTCATGAGGCCAAACAAGCATTTTTGGCGCAAGCTTGATGGGGAAATAACTAGAAAAGCCGTTAAAGCTAGATTCTGCTCTAAGGATCCCTGGACTAGAGATCCTCTTTGGCCAGGTTTCTCTGCGTTTCAGTTAGGATTTGCTCCCAGCCAGGAAGGCAGTGGCTAGGAACAAGTTTCCCTATCCACCACAAAAGTGAGAAAAAGCTAAAGAGAAAAGTGCGTTGGATTCAGTTCTGACAACCTTCCCAACCTCTGAAATACTGTGTAACTATTTAGCTGCAGCTTAGCAGTACTTTAGGTGAAGAAAGAGTATATATCAGCCTATTTCAATACTCTGGGCACCATACAGCCATTGATAAGGATTCTTCCTAGACAGGCTTTTCAGCTACTAGGGCTTCATGAGCTCCTCTTGATCCATTTGACTATGAGTCAGTGTTCACAAGGTATATATGTGTTTTGCTTTTACCAATGGAATATTTGGTCATAGATAAATCTGTAGTTTATTTAAAAAAAAAAAAAGAAAGAAAAACAGGAAGGGTGCTGTGGCTCACGCCTGTAATCCCAACACTCTGGGAGGCTGAGATAGGCAGATCATTTGAGTTCAGGAGTTTAAGACCAGCCTGGCCAACATGGTGAAGCCCTGCCTCTACTAAGAATACAAAAATTACCCAGGCATGGCAGTACATGCCTGTAATCCTAGCTACTCAGGAGGCTGAGGCAGGAGAATCACTTGAACTGAGAGGCAGAGGTTGCAGTGAGTTGAGATCACGCCACTGCACACCAGTCTGGGTGATCAGAGCAGCAAGATGCCGTATCAAAAAACAAACAAACAAAAAACCTTACATATATGTCTGGTCTGAGGTTGACATGTCTTTACCCTGAAGATATCTGGTGATTTTTTTTTTTCCTGCACTGCTGCAGTGTGTGCCTGTGTATGACACAAGTGACATTGTTTCTATTGGACTAACAGGTTTGATTTGGTGTGACCTGATAAAATGATCTGGTTCAAATGCGTTTCACTGGCTTCATTCTTGCCTCTTTTCTTACCCCACATTCAATATATCAGCAAATCTTGTTTGCTGTATCTTAGAAATTTATCCGGACTCTCACCATGTTTACCACCTGCACTCTGGTCTGTCATCAATCTATTTTACTTGGATCATTACAACAGGCTTCCAATGTCTAGTTGCCCTCATGCTCAATCTGTTCTCCGCAGTGCAGCTCTCCTCTCTCAACTCAAATCAGATTTGGTCACTCCTCCAATGGCTCTCCTTTTCATTCAGAATAAATTGTAAAGGTTACAAGGTTCTACAACTGTACCCTTCTAGTATCCTACTCCCGCCTCTGATTCAGTCAGCTACTCTCCCACCGCTCACTGAATTCCAGCCTACACTGACCTCCTGCCTATTTCTCAAACATGCCAACCTCACTTCCACTTAGGATCTTTGCATTTGCTGATCCTTCTGTGTAAAATATTCTAACCCTGGGTAGCTAAATGGCTCATTTTCTCACTTCCTTAGTTCTCTGCTCAAATGTCAGAGAGGCATTCCCACACAAACATATTTAAAATAGCATCCTCCCTCCCCATGTCTCCTTACTCTGCTTTATTTTGCTATGACTCACCATCTGGCATAGTAGATATTTATTTATTTATTTTTTTGGCCTTTCCCACTATAATGTGAACTCTATGAGAGCAGGCACTTTATATCTTGGTGGGCTGCTATAGCCTCATTCCTTAGAACACTGCCTAGACCAATTATAAATACTTGTTGGGCTACGTTAATCAAGGCCTCATCTTGAGATCTTGAACGTTTTTCTTTTTTTAAGATGGAGTTTGGCTGTCTCATCCAGGCTGGAGTGAAGTGGCGCAATCTCTGCTCACTGCAACCTCTGCCCCCCGGGTTCAAGCGATTCTCCTACCTCAGCCTCCCCAGTAGCTGGGATTATATGCGCCTGCCACCACGCGTGACTAATTCTTGTATTTTTAGTAGAGACAGCGTTTTGCCATGTTGGCCAGCTGGTCTCGAACTCCTGACCTCAGGTGATCCGCCCCTCCCCTGACTTCGGCCTCCCAAAGTGCTAGGATTACAGCTGTGAGCCACCTAGCCCGGCCGTTTTAATTTCTAAAAATAAACTTTCCGGATCTTAATTTCATGGCTTTAACATTTTAAATGAGCTATAATCTCATTGCTGGCTCGAATGGTTTTGGCAGGAAAGTTAAACTACTGAGAGACCTATGAAAAGCAGCAACAATTTAATGAGCACGTCTACTATGTCAAGCTTTGTGCTCACTTTGTTTTATCTCTCTTAATTCCAACTATGGTCCTAGTGGTTGGTAGTGTGACTATTCTCCTTTTACAGAGAATTACTGAGACTTGGAGAGGTTAAGTAACTCACAGTCAGGTCACAAAATTAACCACTGAGCTGAGATGGGAATTTAGACACGACCGACTCCACACTGCCTCCTAGCCGTCTCCTCGAGTAGTTCATGTCCTGTTACCGAAGTAGTGAAGCTGCTGGTGTCAAAACATTCCTTTTGCAGTTTCCTGTACTAGGGTTCTGGCTGATTTTGCACATATTTATTTCAAAGATCCTAGGTACCACACCAGGTAGTTGACCTTTCGGAATGTTGTAAAAGCCACTGTCCTCTATGCTGGGACACTTTCACGCAACGTTGCCTTAGCCATACTCCGGAAAACGCCTTTTTTCTCATTTCCCTGCACTCCGCATTAAACGCAGAGGTAGTTTACAGCACCTGGTAAAAGAGGACTGGATGACAACGCTGTGGTCCAGAGGAAAGGGCACATCACCAAGTCGGTTCACCGCTTGCTAGCGGGGGAGCTTACATATAAATGAAGAGAAAACAAGTTCTTAAAAAGCAGCGGACCCCGGGTTCGGTGGGAAGCTGGCCTGAAGCCGGGGAAGAGGGCTCAGGGGACCGGACGCCGTGCCCCGCACCCGCTAGGCCTGACAGCCGCAAGAGGCGGGGCAGGAGGAGCTCCTCCAGAGCGGCCTCGGCTCCAGGAGGGAAGCCGCCGAGGCTCCCCCAGCTGCCCGGCGCGCGGGAGGACGCAGCCAGCCAGGACCCGCGGCGCGGGGAGGGGCCGGCGCCCGCCCCGCCCCTCTCCTCGGGGATGCCGGGATGTTTACACACCAGACAGCGGCGGCCGCAGGAGGAGGAGCGGGAGCCTGGGGAGGATGGGCCGCCGCTAGGCTTGCGCTCCGGACGCGCCTCCGAGTGTGCAGGGTGGGTGCCCGCGCCTGCAGCGTCCCCGGGGACGGCGCGGCGGGAGGTGCCGATCGCCTCCGGGCCTCGCAGCCACAGCCCCCGGCCCACCGCGGTTTCCGACGGCGGCGCCGGGCCGAGCCACCAGTCCGCCCAAGGTCCCTCGCGGGCGGGCGAACGGAAAACTCCCAACTTCTTGGTGAGTCGCTGCCCAGGGCTCAGGCGCCCGGGCCGGGGAGCTCCTGCCGGGTGGGGCGGCCTGCGGGAGTCGGGCCGGGAGTGGGCGGTCGGCACCGCGCGGGGCGGCCTCCGGGATCCCCTTGCTCGGGGTAGGTGGGGCGGGGCGCGCCGCGCTTCAGCCGTCCGGGGGTTTCTGTCCTGTGCGTCTGCAGCGGTGGGAGGGGGCGGCGGGAAACTTCACACCTGGCACCGACTCTGGCGGCCCGAGGCCGCCCAGGGCGCCGCGGTAACTAAGAAACTCCGCGGCCACGGCGGCGGCGGCAACAGGTCTTCGGTTTCAGGCCGGAGGAACTTAGGCGAAGTCCCGCCCCCCGGCGGATGCTCATTGGCGACGTCGGGTATTTATCCCTCGCGGATTGGCGAGGTCCGTCTGTCAGGATTCGGTCGCAGCCAGACTTGGGAAAGTGAAGTGCGCTGGGAGAGTGGGTGGTGGGAGCCGGCAGACGGCAGAACCGAAGTGGCCTGAGGAGTACCGGGAGCGTGAGAGGTCTGCTGGAGAGCGAACTTGGGAGGGGCTGGAGATGACAAAATGTCGGCGAGAGGGATCGCGAGGCAATAGCGAACATTGTTGGTGATGGTGGCAGTGGACAAGAAGTGCAAAACTGAGGCCACAGTCAGAGAAGGGGAGCCAAACGAAGACGGAGAAAAGTGACATGACCGTATGACCGCAGATCAGTGCAAAGAAGCGAGCACAACCTAGAGGATGCTGTCTTGAGAGCTAAAGAACTTTGTGCCTCCTTTGCGCTGTAGGCCTTCACTCCTAAAACCGCAGCATCCGCTATTTAGTCTTGCACTTGGAGCGTAGTGGGGTGGTAGAGATGATGCATCAACCAATGAATCGTGTTCTCGCATAGCCGTAGTCCTCATTGGGAAGAAATACTAAAAATATACTTAGTTTACAGTAAGATACAGGCTGCCATCCTTGCGCAATTCTGGTGACTGAACTGAAAATCTGAAATAAAATGATTCTGGATGCGGTTGAAAGCATCAAATTTCCATTGTTTGTAGAGCCTTATGTACCTATCGTAATTGGAACTACTATTTTTAATTCCTCCTCCAAGGAATTTACAGTTTCAGGAGTATGCACACTCCCTCCAAGCGACAGCAGTATGTCTGGTCAGGTTGCATTAGAGAATGAGTACAGAGTATGTGTGCTATAAGTATGTTCTGTTTAGGACCTTGAGCTGCTGCTGGTGTGGTCGAAGAATGACACAGTACTTGCACTCAAAAATTACAGTATGTTTAGGACAAACTGTCAAACCTTGCAAACGGTGAACAGTTAAACGACAGATACAGTTAACCCTCTGATGCTTTGTGGCAAGTCTTGTTCAATGGCCGCTATTTTTGGTTTGTAACACGTGGTGATGGCCAAGTGCTCTTGAAACAGTTAACTTAAAATCTCAGCAGTTATTTCCAGAGAAAGTAATCCTGTCTCCCTCGGCGAGATCCAGTCCACAGCTCTCTTCCCCCCTAAAACCGCGGCATCCTCTGTTGGGTCTTGGACCGGGAGTTTGCTGGGGTAGGGGGAGAAGTGTTGGAGATTTGAAAACGCTTTGCCTCTCGGAGGAGTCAAAGGGGCAGAAACTGCATGGGGGAGAGGAAGTCCTGCGAAATAAAATAGGCAGAGTAACCCTTTGAGGAGGCTAGGTGCCTTCTCGGGGCCGGTGTGTGTGCGTGTGCGGGGCTAGTGTTAAGGGTGGGGAAGGAGCCCGGGAGCCTGCGGTACCCCCCCGGAGGTGCGGGCCTGAGATTCCGCTGGGTGGCGAGAGGCTCCGCCCTCCGGAGCACTGACGGCCTTCGCAGCCAATGGGCGGCGAGGACATCGCGTTCGAGAGGGCGGGTACTTCCTACTCCGGCCCTGGGCTCGGAGAAGGCCGCGCCAGTGGTTTCTCCAGGGATGTCTGCAGGAGGGACGCCAGGCTGAGGTCCGGCGTCGAGAAATAAATAAGTAAATAAAGGGTAGCGGGCTTCGGTTTCCCCTGAGCCGTCCTAGGTGCCCTGTTTCGTTATTCAGTTGTACCTCGACCTTAAAACTAGTTCTACTGAAAGTTTATAGTAGATAAGCTAAATTGACCAGCAAGCTGAATATAGTCCATGTGACTGAGGGGGGGTTTACTCTGAAATTATAAGAAAATGAAAACCACCAAATGTCAGAATCTAGATCGTTAGCTGTTTTTACAACTTTTGGGGAATCTTTCCATGGTTAAAAATCTTACCAATTTAACAACACTATTTCCAAGCGTACAGGCTCGTTTTATAATCTGAACTATTTAGGTTTATTTATTTAGCTAATACATGTAGCACCCACCATTCCTTTTCCCCCTCCATATTTTCCTGGCTAGACAATTTCAAGAGTTCGTTTCCGTCCCAGTAAAACAGCACTTACCCCAAGAATGGGGAAAGCATGTCTGGTGTGATAGCAGCGTACTAGTGGAGGAGGGGAGATTTGATGCCTCCATAACTAATTTAGCTGATTAATAAGCTAAAAATCAGCATTGTATTGTAATGACCAGTGCAGTTACAGTTTGTGTAAATAAGTACTTAAACTCATAACCACCCATCCCCCAAATCTTCCTGGAGTTTGCAGTTGATAGTTTTGGGCTCTGACTTATTGTAAACATTTAAGTATTCTTTTTTTTTCTCTTGATTAATCCATATTTACCGAAATGGAAAAAAAACCGTATTTTTTTTCACTGAACTATGTGGTCCGAGATATCATTAGAGACTTCTACAGTGTTTCCAGAACCAAACACTATTTTATCCTAGGAACTATCTGATGTTTTAAGAATGTATCTCTGTAGTATTACAAATGTCACCACCTTTCAGGGCACCTGAGAAGGAGGTAATAGTGATTATGCAGTTTTGGAAAAAAGAAAGTTAGGTAGGTAATTACAAAATTTCTTTCAGGTTTTCTTTCTCTTGATTTTTATTTTTAGTTTTAGAAAGTCGGCTTTGGTATTTTAAAAATGCACGGTGTAGTGTTTAAAAAATGCACGCAACACTTCGTCCTCATTCCCGGCTTCCTCCAAATTGAAGTATTTACCCTTTCGAATATTTGTTGGAAGATTTCTAGGGTAGGTATTTCAGTGCATCGTCTATAAAACATGATACTAAACTTAATGTACTACTTAAGGGTATCTTAGAAATGACCTGTATCATTACTGTTTGCTCTGAATTGTTGTGTCAGCACTTTATCAGCATTTATATAAATATATAGGAAGATGTTTTAAGACGCATTTCTTTACCCTTTTGAGAGTTTTTCAATTTAATTCTCCCCCCCCACCCATTTTTATAGGGAATATGGTTGAATAACATTTGGTGGTATAGTTGTAAGCAAATATATGCATTTATAAGATATAATGGCAGTAGAGAATTTTTAAATTGATGCAGTTCAATCTCAGAGTTATGAAACTTCTAAACTGCTGATTTCTCCTTTGGTAATTAATAGTTTGATTATTCCTAGGTGTTATATATTTTCACAAAATATTTTTTTATTCTGAAGAAAACACTTAGAGAATGTATTTCATGTTTTTTAGTGGGCAGTAGGAATGAGAAGGACAGATGATCATGAAGCATTCCTTAATTAATACTTTTGAGCAGGATAACTTCTTTTTTAACCTTTGTCAAAATAACCTCCCTGTCATACAGTTTATGTAATGAGATTATACAATGAGTGGTTTTGTTGTAATAGTTATCAAAGTGTTAAGCAGAACAGTGTATACATGATGAACAAAACTGATTTTAGTGGTCTGTAAAAATTTAGAAATATATATTTTCTGTTACCTAATGGAAATAGGCCTTTTTGTAAATCTTGCCACCAGTGTTCTGCTGATAGTAGGTAAGAGCTAGTTTTTCAATCCAGTGTGCTTTTGTGTTGAACAGTGGTTCACAAAATTTTCTCTCTGAAGGGTCAGATAGTAAATATTTCTGGCTTTGTGAGCTGTGTAGTTGCTTCTGCTGCCGTTGTAGCCAAAGACAGTACCTGACAAAGTGGCCATAGGTGTGTTCAAATAAAACTTTATTTGTACAAATAGGTTGGTGGCTCTCCCCTGCTCAGAAAAGAATACCAAAGGTCTAAATATGGTGCTATGCCTTTGATGTTTGGGTTGGTGTGGAATTTTCCACAACAGTGTTTTATAATTTTTTTGGTCCTTGGACTCTTGTGACAATTCGTTGATCTTGCACAGTTTCCTCAGAATAATGCCTAGCTATCCATTCCCAAATTTTGAGTTTCATTTCAGAGTTTGTCAACATATGAACCTCTTTTAGGTTTATCTGCCTTTTCAGATTTCTTCACCATTCTTTGCTTCCGGGGGATTTCTTCTCCTATCCTTTGACATTGAATGAAAGCCTCTCTGTGCTCCCTGCTTCTTACTAAACTAACATAAAATCTAATGTCAGTCATTTGTCTTTACTAAATGAAAACTACTAGACAAAGAAACATACCAAAACTCACTCATGTTTCTTTGTCTAGTAGTTTTTATTTTTGTATTTTTGTATTTTTTTGGCTTTTTAATATGAGAATATTCTGTATACCCTAGTTTATATTATTATTATTATTTACTTTTTTTTAATCTTTGATTGCATTTTAGGTTTTGGGGCACATGTGAAGAACATGCAGGATTGTTGCATAGGTACATGCATGGCAATGTGGTTTGCTGCCTTCCTCCCCATCACCTGTATCTGGCATTTCTCCCCGTGTTACTGGTAGGACTGCCTTTGTCTCCTTTAGAGGGAATTTTTGACGTGAGCTAGAGGGTGGGCACATTGTTTTCTTTTTAGGACACATTAACCTAGTCTTTCATAAAAAGACTCCCCCCCCACCCCCCACCCCCCAAGTAAAAAATTACTGGAAAGAGCCTGTGCTTTGGCAGAGGGCCTACAGTCAAGGTGTTTTGGCCTGGGGTAGAGGTACCTCTGACTTTTGCTCTGAGAAGAATTAGCTGTAGGCTTACTTGGGTGTAGCTACTGAGCAGCATAGAGCAGAATGGAAAATGCAACGGCTTTGTAATTACACGATCGACTTTCTCAGCTTTAGTCAGGAGTGGGTTTTGTGTGTGCCAGACCTTTGACCCCTTAGCCTTTAGGGAAGCCCAGGTGGGACCTGGGACAATCAGACTTCCTGGCTGGTTGCCACCAGCTACAAGCAGTCTCTTCTCTTTATCTGACTCTGCTGCACATATATTATCATTATCTGTGTTTACCATGATGTGGAAAAGACTAGGCACAAAGCCCCAGGGTCCTCATTTCCTACTTTATGACCTTGGTTGAGTTGCTCATTTTGTTCAGACTGTAGTTGTCCCAGCTCATAAAGTTGCTTTGAGGAGTAAATGAAAACATCTTTGTAAATGTATTGTAGCAGGTCCAATAAGTGTTAGTTTCATTTCACTTTTTTCTCTATTCTTAGGACCTTCAGGGGTGGAATATACATCTGTTGGCAGTTTCTTCTGATGACAGACCCTGTCACCCACTCCGCCTAGGCCCAGTTTTGTCTTAATGGGCTACTTCCCACTTCTGCCATTTCTGCTTCCTCTGTTTGAATTCTCCTTTTCCTTTGTCCCGTGATTTTCATATTCAAAATTTAATTTTTCCCACATTTGGGTTAGTTTTTATGACTCTTTGGAGGGTGGGGAGACTCAGCAATCCTTAGTTTCTCAGGTGAGAAAAGCCACAAGAGGCTTGGGGGGTTACATTATGGGCTACAAATAATGTGAGTTGCAAAAAGGTCTTTAAATACTGATTTTAAAAAATGGCAAAATCAAAAATATTCTTCCTAGCATGCTTAAAATTGTTTCTTTTTTTATTGTTGAAATATTTCCCCTATATCCTTATATTTATCTAAATGAATCACTATACATTTATTATGATATAATCATAACAAAGCTGTATGTCCATTATTATATTATGGTTGGAAAAATTGAATAGATGTGTTTATGAGAAATTGTTATACTTCTAAAATGTAAGGAATGCCTAATCTTATATTGCCTTTATATCTAACTTCTGGACCATATAGTAAAATAATATGATACGGGCACAGTGGCTCATACTTGTAATCTCAGCGCTTTGGAAGGCCAAGACAGGAAGATTGCTGGAGGCCTGGAGTTCAAATTTCAAACCCTGTTGCTGCTTATAAGTTTGTGGAGTATTCTAAATCCTTTGTTGTCATTTCGGCCACGTTCACAGCGTCTTCATCAGGAGTAGATTCCATGTCAAGACATCACTTTCTTTGCTCATTTGTAAAAAGCGACTCCTCATCCATTAAAGTTTATCATGGGATTGTAGCAATTCAGTTACATCTTCAGGTTCACTTTTAATTGTAGTTCTCTATCTGTTTCCACCATGTTTGTAGTGACTTCCTTCACTGAAATCTTAAATCCCTCAAAGTCACCCATGAGGGTTGGAACCAACATCTTCCAAACTCCTATCGATGTTGATATTTTGACTTTCTCCCATGAACGACAATTGTTTTTAATGGCATCTATAATGGTGAATCCTTTTCAGAAGATTTTCAGTTTATTTTGGCCAGATCTATCAAGAGTGATCACTGTTTATGGCAGCTATAGACTTAGGAAATGTATTTCTTATTTTTAGATAAGAAGACTTGAAAGTGGAAATTATTCTTTGAACCATGGGCTGTAGAATGGATGTTGTGTCAGTAGGCATGAAAACAACATTAATCATCTTGTATATTTCCATCAGAGCTCTTGGTGACTAGGTACATTGTCAATTAGTAGTTATATTTTGAAAGAAGTCTTTCTCTGAGCAGTTGGTCTTAACAGTGGGCTTAAAATACTCAACAAACCATGCTGTAAACAGATTTGCTGTTGTCCAGGCTTTATTTTTCCACTTACAGTGTACCGACAGTGTAATTTTAGCATAATTCTTAAGGGCCCTAGGATTTTCAGGGGTTGTTAAATGAGCATTGGCTTCACCAGCTCTGTCAGCATTTAACG